CTCTCTCTCTCTCTCTCTCTCTCTCTCTCTCTCTCTCTCTCTCTCTCATATCTTGGATTAGGAATAGTTTGAGGTTTCTACTGTAAGGGCATTTGTTATTCACAGAAGAGCCCTGGAGGTAGAGAAGAGTTGATTCAGAGGCCTTGGGCCACTGGGCAGCATTTCTGAGATTCTCTAGGTAGCTTCAGGCCCACATCACCCCCTCCACAGGCAGGAAGTGGTGGAGATTGTGAGAAAAATTCTTTCCCAGAGCACTCCTTCCATATGTGGCTGCCCCATCCTCAGTGGCTTGCACCAACTTTACTAGAGACTGAGAAAATGCCATCTGGCTTCTTTTTTAGATTTATTATTTATTTTATTTTGTGTGTGAATGTTTAACTTGCATGTATTCATGTGCACTATATACTTGCCTGGTGCTCATAGGGGTCAGGAGAGGGTCTCAGATCCCTTGAGATTGTTAGATGGTTGTAAGGAGTGTGTGTGACAGCTGAAAGGACAGTGTCTTAGTCACTGTTCCATTGCTGTGAAGAGACACCATAACCAAGGCAACTCTTATAAACAAAAGCATTTAATTGGAGGCTTGCTTACTGTTTTAGAGGGTTAGTCCATGATCATCATGATGGGAAGAAGACAGGCAGGGCCCCTAGAGCTTTACATTCTACATACTAGCTGAGAGCTTTCCATTTTGATTCACAGGCAGCAGGGGGTGGGGAGGAGAAAGAGAGAGAGAGAGAGAGAGAGAGAGAGAGAGAGAGAGAGAGAGAGGGAGAGAGAGACTAAGACTCTAGGCCTGGTGTGGGCTTTTGAAACCACAAAGCCTACTCCCAGTGACACACCTCCTCCAGTTAGGCCACACCTCCTAATCCTTCCCAAATGATTCCACTAACTGGGGACCAAGTAAGTATTCAAACATTTGAGCCTACCAGGGCCATTCACATTTAACCCACTAAAGAGCCTCTGGGAACCTGGTAGGATGGGTATGGATGGACAAAGGACATTCATATGACCTTTTATAAGCAGAACTCTTAGCAAATGGAGCCACAGTTGCAATGGCTGAACCATGGCACCGATATGAAGAAGAGCACTGCCATATTGCCTGACTCTTGTGGAAGTTGAAGATAGGGACCTACTGAGAAACTGTGGCACCTTTAGAGTGACCAAGATGTGCTTTTGTTTGCTGTCTTTCTGCACAGCTGGTGCTTTCCAGATGGTTCTGATCAGTAGGAACTGCCTCTGGAGAAGCCAAGCTTGCAATCCCACCCTCAGTCCTTCTGTCCTCTTCCATCTCATCTTGCCTTTTGGGGTCAGAGAAAGGAGTTATTTTCTGTCCAACAGCCACTCAAAACATATGGAAGATATTTGGTGTGAATTTCAGAACATCACATTCTTTACCTCATTCGATCCTTCAGATTCCCTGGTCCAGCTCCTCCAAGCTCCAATTGAATGAAAGAAAACAGATTCAGTAAATCAGATGTTCAGAGGCTCATGGCAGAGCCCAAGCCTAGTTTCCCAACTGCAGGCATAGTGCCTGGCCTGCTGGCACCAGAATTGTCTGAAATGCTTGCTGCAAACCCAGATTCCTAAGAGGCCACCCCATTAGATATAAAGAATGGCACAGAAGAGGTTACTTTGGGAAAAGAGCTGACATATACTTACTTTTCAGGAATTAGCTTTATTAGGAGAAAGGACCTTGAAACTGTGATTGGGCCTTGAGGTAAGGGAGCATTAGAAAGGAACAGTGCAGGGCTGGAGAGATGGCTCAGCAAGTAAGAGCATTGGCTGCTCTTCCAGAGGACCCAGAGTCAATTCCCAGCACCCCTATGATGGTTCACATCTGTCTGTAATGCCAGTCCCAGGGGATATGATGCCCTCTTCTGGCCTCTGCAGGCATTGTATACACACAGCACACAGACACCCAAACACAAAGAAAAATGGAAAGAAGGAAGTAAGGAAAAGAACAAGACAATTATACTGACAACAACATAACAGGCCTCAAAGGATATAATCGCTCAAGGCCTCAAAGGATTCACTAAGAGAGTTAGCTTAAAGAAAGAAGAGGGGCTGGAGCGATAGCTTCCATGGCTAAGAACACTTGCTGTTCTTACAGAAGACCCAAGTTTGCTTCTCAGCATGCACATGAAAGCTCATAACTCCAGTTCCAGGTAATCTAGTGCCCTCTTCTTGCCTCCCTGGGTATCAGGAGCACATATGCTGTGCATAAATACCTGTGGGAAAACATTCATAAGCATAAAACAAAAATAAGTTATAAGTGGTGGTGCATGCCTTTAATCCCAGCACTTGGGAGGCAGAGGCAGGCGGATTTCTGAGTTCGAGGCTAGCCTGGTCTACAGAGTGAGTTCCAGGACAGCCAGGGCTATACAGAGAAACCCTGTCTCAAAAAAAATTCTTTTTGCTTATTTCTTCTAGTCCTGAGCCTCAAATAGGCTGACTAACTTTGAGAAACAACATAAATAATTTGGTAGCAAAACCTATTCAGATACATTATCATAAGTTAGCTATGGAGGACCATGAGACTCAAGATGAGGTTGTTACTTTATCCAGGGTGTTCCCAAAACCCATCTCCACCCAACCTAAAAGAAGGTACTTCCACCCCTAGACCAGGCAGAGAGGGGCCACCCAGAATCCCCTCTGACAGGCGACCTGAATTCTTGCTTAGGCTGCGAGGCTAAGCACTGCAAGGGAATATCAATAAAAGTTAAAAATATCTCTCTGGGTTCCCTGAGCGACAAGCCTGACTGCATAGAGGTTGATGTCAAAAGTATCCCCTCTCCAAGAAAAAGACATCAGGACGGGTTTGGCCCTCATGCCTCACTGGACAACGACAGGAGGACCAGAGCCATTACAAGGTCCCCTTCAATTACTGGAGGTCAGGCCTCTATCCCCGCCTTCACAAAATTAGAATCACCACAGCCCTTCTATACTTAGAGAAGGGAGGAGATGTCAGGGACAGCCCTGCTTACACACTGAAGGCCTAAAATCAGCCATAGGCCTAAAATCAACAATAGGCCTGTCATACATGTATACTAACACCAAGTCTTGGGTCTCTGTGGAAAAACATTGAAACAGATGGCTATAAGCTATTGTAAACAGGCAGCTTTTGTGACACTTTACCAGCCTGAGTAGTCATAGACCTTGTAAATAGGTAGCCTTGGCAGATAATACCAACTTAGATAAGGACAAGTGAATCATAGGCAGAGTCATAGTGAATTGTCCCCTGAACCCTCACCCAGCTGATACCCTGTTCTGAAAAATATCTGTACTCCCCCTGAACACCCACATTCCAGTGTCATCCCCTTCCCCACATCCTGCCTTTTTGTGTTTATAACCCCTGTGTGAATGAGTACAAATTACAATTTGAAAAAAATAAATAAATTATATACATACATATACATATATGTATATAAAAGAAAAATATGTGAGGTAACCATTATATGATAAATGAGAGTGAGGGAGACCTAGAGGGAAAGTCCTCAGAAACATCCCTAAACTGAAGGAGACAACTGGTTTTTCTATCCTTAACGGGGCTGGGGGGACTTTTCATATTTCTTGATTTAATTCCTCCTAATGCACATGACAAAGAGTGTGGAGGAGCCAAGCACTGGTTAAGAGCATTAATTAGGGGCTGTTGTTAGGCTACATCACAAGTCTCCTTAACCCTCCATCCCAGGGGTTGGGGGTGGTGGGCATGGGATCTGGCCTCTTAGAGAGACTGATGTCTTAAAGGGGCGGCTGTGATAGATCACCTTCCGAAGTAGAATGTCTAGGAATGAGACATGGACTCTCCACTGTAACACACACCTTACATGATGTCTAGACCCTTCCTGTGGATGCCATGCTTTGATTGGCTTAGAACCTCCTCTCTAGTTTTTGAATGGGAGAGTACTTTTCATGACTCTTGAGTTTAAGAAAATTGCACTGTTCTCGTTTTTAGTTATTTGGTTGTTTTGTGTGTGTGTGTGCACGCACATGCGTGTGTTTGTGCGTGTCAGTGTGTGTTTGTGTAAGTTCATGTGCACAGCAAGCATGTAGCACCCCAGGAAGACAGAGGAAGGTGTTGAATTCCCCGGAACTGGAGTAGCAGGAGGTTGTGAGCTATCATGTGGGTACTAGAGACCAAACCTGACCCCCACCCACCCATCCACACACACACAAGAGCAGCAAGTGTCTTAACTGCTGAGCCATCTCTCTAGTTCCTGTTCTCATTCAATTTATGTTTTAAAAAAGTAAATTAAACCCACTCAACCCCAATCCCTTCCCTTTAGTTTCTCCTACCACTATTTTTGGTTTCATCTGCTTTTTTTTTTTTTTTTTTTTTTTTTTTTTTTTTTTTTTTTTTTTTTTGACTGAGTGCATTTGGTACTGCCACTAGAACATGGTCAAGGCCATCCACTGCAGCACGGGTAGCTCTTGGGGTAGATTTCTGAAGACTGTCTCTTTCTTGCCCAGAGCCCATCAGTTGCCAGTAGTTCCTCAGCTAGGGATGGGACTCCATGACTCCCATCCCCACCCAGGCCTGGACTTTGTGTGGTTTGAGCTTGCAATAACCTCCTCTGTCAGTTCAAGTATACAAAAGTGAGTCAGATTGATTCTAACTCCAGAGGCCCAGGTCACATCACAAATGACAAAAACAAAGAGACCTTCTAGAAAGTAGAGAGTCTTTTTTTTAGACATATAAAATTTATTTTAAACCATTCACAAATCATTTTTGGTTTTGAGACAGGTTCATGTATGAGCCCACAGGAAACCTGAACTCCTGGTCCTCTGCTTCCCCTTCCCAAGTGTTGGGATTACAGGTGTGCACCACCACATCCAGCAAAAGTTACACTTTCTCAAAGAACACATTTCTGTGGATCAGTGACTCAGAGCACGGTGGGACATTCTAAACCTCTTGAAACATCTCTTGTGAACATCTCTCTGTTTCTGCTTTGATTGCAGAAGGCTCGGCATCACCCTACGCTCGGCAAGATGGGTGACTGGAGCTTCCTGGGGGAGTTCCTGGAGGAGGTCCATAAGCACTCCACGGTCATCGGCAAGGTCTGGCTCACCGTCCTGTTCATTTTCCGCATGCTGGTCCTGGGCACTGCTGCTGAGTCCTCCTGGGGAGATGAGCAGGCTGATTTCCGGTGCGATACCATTCAGCCTGGTTGCCAAAATGTCTGCTACGACCAAGCCTTTCCCATCTCCCACATTCGCTACTGGGTACTGCAGATCATCTTTGTGTCCACGCCATCTCTAGTGTACATGGGCCACGCCATGCACACTGTGCGCATGCAGGAAAAGCAGAAGTTGCGGGATGCTGAGAAGGCTAAGGAGGCCCATGGCACTGGAGCCTATGAGTACCCGGTAGCCGAGAAGGCTGAGCTGTCCTGCTGGAAGGAAGTGGATGGGAAGATTGTCCTCCAGGGCACCCTACTCAACACCTATGTCTGCACCATTCTGATCCGTACCACTATGGAGGTGGCCTTCATCGTGGGCCAGTACCTGCTCTATGGGGTCTTCCTGGACACCCTGCATGTCTGCCGCAGGAGTCCCTGTCCCCACCCAGTCAACTGTTATGTCTCGAGGCCCACTGAGAAGAACGTCTTCATTGTCTTTATGATGGCTGTGGCTGGGCTGTCTCTGTTTCTCAGTCTGGCCGAACTCTACCACCTGGGCTGGAAGAAGATCCGACAGCGCTTTGTCAAGTCACGGCAGGGTGTGGACAAGCACCAGCTTCTCGGCCCCTCCACCAGCCTAGTCCAGAGCCTCACTCCTCCCCCTGACTTCAATCAGTGCCTAAAGAACAGCCCCAGTGAGAAATTCTTCGGTGACTTCAGTAATAACATGGGTTCCCGGAAGAATCCAGATGCTCTGACCACTGAGGAAGTGCCAAACCAGGAGCAGATTCCCGGGGAAGGTTTCATCCACATGCACTATGGCCAGAAGCCCGAGCTGCCCAGTGGAGCCTCTGCAGGCCACCGGCTTCCTCAGGGATACCATAGTGACAAACGACGCCTTAGTAAGGCCAGCAGCAAAGCAAGGTCAGATGACCTGTCAGTGTGACCCTCATCCTAGGGAGGACCAGACCCAGGAGGGATGTAAGGAGTGTGAGGCAGGAAAGAAGCAGTCCCTCACGACTGTCAGACCCTCCTTAACTCTGCTCCTTCTGTCCTGGGTCTGAATGGCATTGCTCATTATCCTCAAAATGAACAGTTCTGAGTATTCTCAAAGACAGGGCTACCCCTCAAGTCTCGTCCCTCCTCATCCTCTGTCAGTATTCACAGCCTTTCAAGTAGTTTATTGAATATAGTGGAGGCAGGAATGGGAACCATGGCAAAATCTGGTCTGTGGAGGACAGACTGAAGACTCAACAGCAGCAACATACCAGATAGACCCCTGCCCCAAGTCTTTGGTACTATGCCCGTCCAAGCCCAAGGTTGAGAGTATTTATCAAATTATCTGCATTGTATCATTCCTCTGAATCTGTTGTTTCCAGGTACCATACTTGGGAGTGCTGGTGAGGTAACTGTGAGCTACCCTTGACTGCATCTCCCTCCTCCCAGTCTTAAAGGGGTATTCTTGGTCCTCGGCCAGCATCAGCTTTACAAGTGCCTTGGTATGTGCCTTTGGCAAACATTTCATGTTGATGCTGCTGCAGCCTTACTGCCAGGCTAGACACCCAGCTCATAAGGGTGCCAAGACCTCTAGAAGTCACTGTGCAGACAAGCATCACTGGAATTGCCACCAGCTGTCATCCTGTGGCCCTTGACAGTTCAACCTAATGATAGAAACCATCCTGGCCAACTCACCAGTGTTCCTCTAAAGTCTTTGTTAACAGGATTGTCCAAAGTCACCATCCTCTCTTGGATCCTAGCCAGATTACCAGCCACCAAGTTCAGTGGAATTTTCCCAGGATTTAATGAAACAAAGAGAGCATTGTGTTTCTCAGGTTCTTGGGGGGGGTAGGGGGTGGGCAGGGAACAATTCTGCTGTGAAGATGAAAATGTGGGGGGGGGACTAGTTCCCCTTCTGCGTATGCCTCCCACTGTCTGCCAGCTTTGAATGCCAAGAGGTTTGGTGATAGCAATTGAGACCCAAGATCTCTCTTAGGGGCACCAAGGGAACATGGAAGCAGAAAGGGATCTCCAGTTGGCTTTGGCAAGGCCCTTATTTAGTGCAAATATTCCTGTGTTTCCTTGGTACCCCTAGGTACAACAGGGGAGGACTGTAGAAAATTCCTGCCATCCTCAGGTTCTATCCTGGGGTATCTACTGAGTGGATCCATAATAGGTATCTTTCTCCTTAAGCAGATCAAAGCTGCTCAGCATCAGATACCAAGACTTACAGACACAATGCTCTGTGTGTGTGTGTGTGTGTGTGTGTGTGTGTGTGTTTGTGCATGCTCATCCATCTGTGTGTGTATGTGTGTGTGCGTGTGCATGATCATCCATCTGTATGTGTGTGCATGCTCATCTATCTGTGTGTATATGTGTGTGCATGCTCAACCATCTGTGTGTGTGTGTGCATGATCAGTCATATATGTGTGTGTGCATGCTTAACCATCTGTGTGTGTGCATGCTCAACCATCTGTGCGTGTGTGTGTGTGTGCATGCTCAACCATCTGTGTAATATGTGTGTGTGTGCATGCTTAACCATCTGTGTGTGTGTGCTTGTGTGTGCCCGTGTGTGCATGCAGATAGAATGGTGAAGAAGAGCCCTGAAGCCAAGCAAACATGTAGAGAAACTTGGGTCTTTCTGCCTCCTTCTCAGTTGTCTGGCAGGAGGGCTGAGCTTGCTTCTTAATCAGCCTAAACGTCAGACATGAGACGTCAGTAGAGAAGGGTGAAGGTTCAGAGGTCAGTCCCTGCCCCAGTGACCCATCTCTGGGTCCTCTGCTGGCATTTGGATGTTACTAATGGACAGAACTAAAGGAACGCCTGAGGATACTTGGGAAGGGAGGACTGGCTGTTCCAGCCCCAGCACATTGCATCCATTCCCGACACCGGCACTGAGAGTCTCTGCTCTTCTGGTTATGGCATGTGTGTTTGTTTTCTGAAATGGGGTTTTTTGAATTAGAAAATCTGAGACCAGTCTTTGACGGTGAGGTTTTCAGAATAGAAAGGGGAAATGATATGTATGACTGGTTTTAAATAAAATCTGACTCTACATGTTAACTCTGGTTCGTGTCTCCTTCAGACTGTGGCTTTAAGAGGGTGGCAGACTTGAAGGAGAAGGGAGAGCATGGGGTCAGACACACAAGGGTTAAAAGCCCAGCTGCTGGTCTCCTCCTGGCCAGCAGTGAGCTACTTCACAACTGTTTTGTTACTCACCTGTAAACTGATCTAGTGATGTCCACTCCGTTAGGTTGCGAAGTGAGAGCCTGCTTAGGAAGAGAAGAACAAATTCTCTCAGGCATATGAGTTTGCAATCAAGGAGCAATTGTTATTATTTTCAGTATAGAGTGATTGAGAACCCGAAGTGTTGATGGATAATTCTAGACCTTCCTCTTTTGGAGCTCACAGCATGATCCACCTGAAGTAAACAACTGAACTTATATAAAGGACACAATTAAGGTGCACCCAGGAGATGGCTCAGTGGATGAGGGCATTGGATATGCAAACATGAGGACAAGTCCCCAGCACCTGCATAAAAAGCTAGGCATGGCCATTACTGGCAATGTAAACCTAGCACTCTGTGTGTGTGTGTGTGTGTGTGTGTGTGTGTGTGAAAACAAGGATTGCTGAGCCTAGCTCTGGGTTTAAAGGACAGAAGGTGATAGGGCAGGATATCTTATGTTCTTCTTTGGCCTGAGTATATGTATGTCTATCCTGCACCATATACCATATACCATAATACCAACCACATAGTCACATACACACACACACACACACACACACACACAGAGTCACATATAACACCACATATAACACACATATAACACACCACACAAATACAACACATATACCTCACACATTCAACACACATGTATTACACGTACACAAAACACACATATACACACACTCTCAAATACCAAACACTCATGTATGTATATCAAACACATATACTCAAACATATACCATGCACATACACACTCACTCATACACATATACCAAATACGCATACACATACCCTCTCACAGCAGGCTCAATCACACGCACCACACACTTACACACTGATACAATTAGAATATTAACTTCTATCGATTCTAAGAACCACAAGTCTCCAGAGAGTGACACAAACAAACAGAAGAGACCAGACCTGCACTCAGAGGCCTGAGCTGGGGATATAGTTTGGCTCAGGTAAAGTGTTTCCCTTGCAAGTGTAAAGACCTGAGTTCTAGCCACAGATCCTCTATTTTAAAGGAAGATGGGGCACGGGGGGGGGGGGGGGGGCAAGTGCTTGTGATCCCCTGCTGGGGCAGTGACAATAAGCAGGTCCCTGGGCTCACCTCACCTGCTTGGCCAGCTCCCGGTGGTGAGCGACCATGTCTTAGAAAACAGGGTGAATGGCGACTGAAGAATGATGCCTGAGGTTGTCCTCTCTTCACATGTGTGCACCTGCACACACACCCCACAGAGCAGAGAAAAAGAAGAAAGGGAGAAAAATAGAGACCTCAAAGATAACTCTGTGAAATATTTTTCCTCCCCCCTTCCCCCACCTTTTGTAGCCATAGAAACTGAGGTACAGGAAGGTTTCTCTAACTGGGAAACGGTTCCTCACTGGCCTCTGAATGAGATCACATGTCTTTGAAAATGGTGAAATAATTCATGTTCCAAACAAGGGTCAAATGCCATCTCAGCCCTTCGTCTCCAGATAGGCTACTGTTTCTGAAAGAAACAAAGGCGTGGGAAAGCAAACAGAAGCACCGTCGTCTTTACCATCCACAGGTCCCGTTTGTCACGGTGGGCAAGCTCTTTGAAGAGATGATGCAGATATGTGTGTATGGAGATGCACTATTCGGTGGCTCCTGTCCACGGGTGAGGGGAGGTTCTGGCCCAGCGGGGCTTGAGCAGCTCCCACAGAAGAGGGTCTATAATACACCTCATCGTGGTATAATCATGGCTGTTCACAGAATGGTTTAGATGGTGCTCACACCACAAAAGCGTAGGTGATCTTTGTAAAATCTCAACCTTCTGGTTGGCTACTCTAAGTTTCCCCTCAGCTTCCAATGGTTCATCAGGAGGAGCACAAGCTGACTGATAACACAGCAAACACACTCTGAGTGCAGGCACTCCAGGTCCCTTCCCTTAATTTCTTCCTTGAATGTCAGAGTTTCTACTGGGGCTGGAGCCATGATGCCTCGGCAGTTAAGAGTGATTGCTCTGAGTTTGATTCCAGCACTGTTACGGATCAGGATTGAGGACAGAGGTGAGAAGGGAGCCTCGGACTTGGAGGTTAGATTATAACAACTTATTTATTCATAAATAGCAGTAAACAGCGAAATGGAATTGCATTCGTACACACACACACACACACACACATTTCACTGACCTCCGGTCTGGCCCGATGTTGTAGCCTGGCTTAACAGCAGGTAAGGTTCAAGATGTGTCCTTCTGCTTTCGGGTTCAGCTGGAGCTCGGTCCACAGTTTGGGCTCGTTTGATGACAGGCATCCATCCAGGTCAGTGGACTCAATTGACGGCATCTCAGTGGGACTATGGGAGCGAGTGAGTTGTGATGGGTAGACTGGGGTATTTAAGCTACACTTAGCCAATCATAATTAAGGCATTCACACATTTCTTCATTGGGCATTTACTTCACTTCAACTTTGTCACATTCTCACACATACTCTAGGCGTGGTTTCCATGGTTACATTCATCCATGATATTGTTTTACATCTTGTTCCTTACAAGCACCCACATCAAATGGCTGCAACCATCGGTAACTCCAGCTCCAGGGACTATGACGTCCTCTTCTGATCTTCTCAGGCATCCACACATGTGTGCACATATACGTACACAATACACACAGAGATAAATAATTAAAAATGTCTTTAAATTAAATTCCTAGCACTGGTGATTAGATGTTAACCTCACTCCTATGAGTGATAGTGAGATGGGTCTCAAGGGGTTTTGGTTTGGTTTGATTTGGTTTTAGTTTTGGTTTTAAACAGCAAATGTGACAGCAGACAGACAAACGAGGCCAGAGGCACTCTGAAGATTCTTTGAAGAATTATTTTCATCATGTGCACATGAGAACAATAGTGAGCCTGGGAAGCTTCCGAAATGAGTGCCCCTTGCAAGAGGTCCAGGAAGCCCTGTGTCGGCCCTCATAGGGGCCCTTGACAGTAAACAGAACTTGAAAATGACAGATACACAGAAGGAATAGGGTCGGGACTTTCTTGTGGGTCACTTGATAGTCACCAGACCTTGGTAGAAACCACTAATTTTTATCACTATTTTAACTAGGAAGGAAAAACTTACATTTAACAATTTATGGCTGTCCATTTATGGGAAGCAGGGTCTCATGTAGCCCAGGCTAGCTTCAAACTCTAGGAAGCTGAAGATGATCTTAAACTCCCGATCCTCCTGCCTCGACCACCTGAGTGCTGAGCTCACAGTTGCCTTGACCAGGCCTTGTACCAGGCTCTAGAAATACAGCTTTACAAAGCAAACGTTGCCCTGTCATTTCTAGTTTGTAATAAGGGAGAGGACTGTAACGCAAGTGAACAGACAGATGCCAGAATTTCAAATCATGTTAAATACCATGAAGGAAACAAACAAGCGGCACACCAAAGCTGCAGGGTCGTTGTGGACAGGAGTGGGAAGTCCTTTCTGAGGAAGTAGTGTGAAAACTCACATCTGGCAACTGAATAGCCAGCTGCTGACGAGCCAGAAGGGAATTCAAATTCCTTCTAGGAAATTCCAAAATACAGTTGTGCTTTATTTCAGTCAAGCCTAATGTTTT